CTAATGCTCTTATTTTAGAGATGAGAAAAAATATAGCCAGTTTAAGTAGCTGGACTATAATCAAGTATAGAGCAGAGAGCAAGTTCATCTTTAGGCAGTAAAGTATCTGAGACAGACCAGAAAAACTGGAGTTAGGCCTCAGATCAGTTCCCTATTCAGGTATTTATTAAGTGTGTAGCTTTAGACAAGCATGTCACCGTTCTGTACCTCAGTATCTTCATCTAGATGATGGGGCTAACAGTGCCAGTAGCACAACTGTAAGGATTAAAGTAAGTTAATATTGGTAAAGCACTTAGAATACTGGAGGGTGAAGGGGTTAGCCCATGGCCTGGTAGTTACATGGGCTAGACTCTGCATGGCTACCTTTATAGACCCTGTGGCTTGTATAACACACCAAGCACATGTGTGTGTCCAAAATCCTAAAAGGAGAGAGAAACAGAGGAAAAGGGATTGCAGTATAACCATTTCTCATGAGGGTGCTTTCTCTCTCTCTGTCTCTCTCCAGCAAGTACACATGCCCTCTAGCAAATTAAGAAAAAAAAAGAAAAAGAAAAAGAATCTTTAGTGGGACAAATTTAACACTCTGTGGTTGTTAGCTATTACCATTTTTACCATTAATTTTAGCTGTTACCGTTACTGCCATTAATATTCAGAGCACATGGAAGGCTGTGTATTTCTTTTACTTTGCATGGGTGTGGCTATGCCTTAGGCCTTTATTATATACCTTTTGTGTTCCTTATATTACCAAACACTGTGTTAAGCAACTAGTAGTAGGTGTTCATGGTGGCTGTGAAAGTAGGAGCAAAAATAGTGATGATAGTAATAAAAGGTGGTGCTGTTGATAGAGTTTTACTACGTGCTAAGCATTGAAATATGTACTTTGCATACATAATCCTCAACATGTCCTCAATCTGTAGCTATTGAAAACCTGCACAGTGGTTCATTTCCAAGAATGCAAGTGTAGCCTCTTCAGGATAATGATTTCCTTCATAACAAGAGAGGAATATGAGCTTTGGCTTTGGTGGAAAAACTTTAGGTGTGGAAACCAGAGCCCTGAAAGAATTCCTTCCATTGTTAAAATAATCCTTGTACTGCTAATATTTGTATAGACTAATCCTGTTATTGATAATTGGGAGGCTGACAGAGGGTGGGAATGGAGGTCAAGGAATAGAGTGGAAGGGGAAACACAGGGCAACACAAATTGCACAAAGAAAAGACATATGCTGGAAAATAGGGGATTGAAGTTCATTTGCTTTAGTTTTTCAGTTGTGTAATTTTATATCATATAAAAATGTTGCTCTTGGGACCAGCAGTTGGTGTAATGGCTATGTGGCTAGACTCCCATGTGGTCAACCGCGGTTCAAGTCCGGACCCGTGGCTTAAATTCATACTGGGTGTGTGTGCGTGCGTGCCCAAGATCCCGAATTTTACTTTTGCTTAGTCCCACTGTGCAAGACTAATGCTCTTATTTTAGAGATGAGAAAAAATATAGCCAGTTTAAGTAGCTGGACTATAATCAAGTATAGAGCAGAGAGCAAGTTCATCTTTAGGCAGTAAAGTATCTGAGACAGACCAGAAAAACTGGAGTTAGGCCTCAGATCAGTTCCCTATTCAGGTATTTATTAAGTGTGTAGCTTTAGACAAGCATGTCACCGTTCTGTACCTCAGTATCTTCATCTAGATGATGGGGCTAACAGTGCCAGTAGCACAACTGTAAGGATTAAAGTAAGTTAATATTGGTAAAGCACTTAGAATACTGGAGGGTGAAGGGGTTAGCCCATGGCCTGGTAGTTACATGGGCTAGACTCTGCATGGCTACCTCTATAGACCCTGTGGCTTGTATAACACACCAAGCACATGTGTGTGTCCAAAATCCTAAAAGGAGAGAGAAACAGAGGAAAAGGGATTGCAGTATAACCATTTCTCATGAGGGTGCTTTCTCTCTCTCTGTCTCTCTCCAGCAAGTACACATGCCCTCTAGCAAATTAAGAAAAAAAAAGAAAAAGAAAAAGAATCTTTAGTGGGACAAATTTAACACTCTGTGGTTGTTAGCTATTACCATTTTTACCATTAATTTTAGCTGTTACCGTTACTGCCATTAATATTCAGAGCACATGGAAGGCTGTGTATTTCTTTTACTTTGCATGGGTGTGGCTATGCCTTAGGCCTTTATTATATACCTTTTGTGTTCCTTATATTACCAAACACTGTGTTAAGCAACTAGTAGTAGGTGTTCATGGTGGCTGTGAAAGTAGGAGCAAAAATAGTGATGATAGTAATAAAAGGTGGTGCTGTTGATAGAGTTTTACTACGTGCTAAGCATTGAAATATGTACTTTGCATACATAATCCTCAACATGTCCTCAATCTGTAGCTATTGAAAACCTGCACAGTGGTTCATTTCCAAGAATGCAAGTGTAGCCTCTTCAGGATAATGATTTCCTTCATAACAAGAGAGGAATATGAGCTTTGGCTTTGGTGGAAAAACTTTAGGTGTGGAAACCAGAGCCCTGAAAGAATTCCTTCCATTGTTAAAATAATCCTTGTACTGCTAATATTTGTATAGACTAATCCTGTTATTGATAATTGGGAGGCTGACAGAGGGTGGGAATGGAGGTCAAGGAATAGAGTGGAAGGGGAAACACAGGGCAACACAAATTGCACAAAGAAAAGACATATGCTGGAAAATAGGGGATTGAAGTTCATTTGCTTTAGTTTTTCAGTTGTGTAATTTTATATCATATAAAAATGTTGCTCTTGGGACCAGCAGTTGGTGTAATGGCTATGTGGCTGGACTCCCATGTGGTCAACCGCGGTTCAAGTCCGGACCCGTGGCTTAAATTCATACTGGGTGTGTGTGCGTGCGTGCCCAAGATCCCGACAGGAGAATGGAGAAGGGATGACAGCGTGGCCATCCCTCCCCCCACCCCCGGAAGTGATTTCTCGCTTTCTGTCTCTCTGTCTCTCTCTGTCTTTCTGGCGAGTGTATGCACCCTATTGGAAAAACTTCTCAAAAAAAAAAAATGTTACTCTTTTCTATTGATAAATATCTCAATAGAAATACATTGGAATAACAACACTGATATAAAAATAGTTGTTTTCTTTTTCTTTCTTTCTTTCTTTCTTTCTTTCTTTCTTTCTTTCTTTCTTTCTTGATTAAATAAATTGCATTCATATGTTAATAGCCACTAATGTGTTTAATAACAAAAATACAATCACTTTAAATTATAATCACTTTTTTTTATTTTCATGCACAATATGTCCTTTTAAGAAACAAAAAGTTTTACGCTAGGGCATGTGCACTCACAGGAGAGAGACAGAGACAGGGAGAGGGAAAGTGAGAAATCGCCCTGTAGGCAGATGGCCATGTGTGCTACAATCCCTTCTCCTCTATTTTTCTTTTAGGATTTTGGGCACACACACACACTCCCTGAGTGAATTTTCAAGGCACCAGGTCCAGGACTTGAACAGTGGTTGGCGATGTGGGAGTCCAGTGCCATAACCACTATACCATCTGCTGGCCCTCACACACCATCTTCTTAATAATTATATAAACAACCATGGCAATAATAAAATCTAGAACGGATGAAAGTGGCTAAAATTGTTACTGGGAGAGGAGTACCTGTTATATTAGATGTTCTGTGTTTGTGTGTGCGCGTGTGTGTGTGTGTGTGTTCATGCATGCTCATACATATGATCACTCTCAGTCACACTCATACATATTTCTAGATAGCAACAACCTTACAGATTCATATATATGTGCATACACATGCATATATAGATACATGTACACATACATTTCTCTATATATTGTCATTTTAAATCCAACCACAACTTTATAAAAAGAAACTGATGCTTGGAGATGTCAGATCCACGTTGGGCGCCAATCTGCCGGGGTCCAGCCTCGGCGTGGGTGGGTTATCTCGACGAAGGCGGCGAAGGTGAACAGAAGACAGAGGCCTCGATGCCTTTCATGCACGTCCTATGCCGGACACCCCTCAGAGATCGCTCTCTGAGGAGTGACAACTGCTAGGAATTATCATGCGTTTTTATTGAAAATGTGTTACATACAAGTAAATGGGAGAGGGGCTACGTGTTTTAATTATGGTGGGTCTCCATGGAATGCAGTTTTGGGAAAGCGGTTTCGGTAAGCAGAGATGATTATTAGCTGATGCGGTGCAGCAGCCATTTTGTGATTACTGGGAATGGTGCTGAGAAAAGAAAATCTCAAGAATAGATATTAGTTCTTATGGATCTTAATAAAGAATGATACTTATACACAGTTTTGTAGGGATCTAAAACTTAATTTGAGGAATCCTAATATATTTATTTATTTCACTTGGAGAGGGTGGAGGTGTCCTGGGCCAGTTTTGGCCTAATTTTATTTTAGGTAAAGAAAGGATTAAGTTTGCCTTAAACGTATTTTGAAGGGCCTTCTAAAGGTCAAGATTACTTCTGCCTAGAATGAACTTTAGCCCACCCTCTATTGTGCCCATGGAGATAAAGCATTGTAATTAATAGTAAGTGATTAGAGCAAAGGGGAGTGGGTCGGTCGGGGACTTCCCGGAAGATTTTATCATATACTCAGGATGTATAGGAGAGCTATGTAATTCTTTCATAGTAGTAAATTGGGGAGTCAGAGGGGGGTCGCTTCCCAGTGAGGCTGCCTCAATTCTCTGGAGCAAATAGCAAGCAGCCTTGCTAACATGCTAACTGACCCAAGCTTTGTTCCAAGGTCGGGGGGTGCACAACAGTAACCTTGCCAACGTGTTGATCCGACCGGAAGCGGAGCTCAAAGGTCGGGGGGCTCAGACAGATCCTGGGGCCTCACCGGGTCGGACTCCTCCAGCTCATGTCACAAAGAGTGGCAACACTAGAGTTTTAACCTAAATTCCCAAGCCCTTAGCAGCCAAACGGAAATATTCTTGAAACAATAAGCATTCCCATTATACCACCATGCCCCATTAATGGAAGGGTGACCTTTTGCTTTTGCTTTTCTAGAATCACCAAGCAACGATTTGGGCCCAACTCTGGGTTTGAAAAAATCTAGTTCCTTGGAGAGTCTACAGACTGCCGTGGCTGAGGTCAGGAAGAACGAGCTTCCCTTTCACAGGCCCCGGCCGCACATGGTCCGAGGCCGAGGCTGCAACGAGAGCTTCAGAGCAGCCATTGACAAATCTTATGATGGCCCCGAAGAATTTGAAGCTGGTAAGGCAACATATACTTCCTTAAATGGTTTCTTTATCTCGGTGTTATCTGCGAATCATAGGCAAGAATGTGTGCTTAACTACAGAGAAAAATGATTTAAGAATCACAATTATGTTTTTGATATTAAAAGTAATTCATTTTCCCGATATGTTTTGCCCTTTGGCTTAACGAACATGGAATGGGAGAATGTAATATGCAATTTCTTTTATGCGTAAATGCTAAAGAAATGTTCCCCCTTACTTTCCTACAAGGACCAACTGTCATTTACCCTTAGGGTAGGAGCACTGAGTATGCATTTCTTGACATTCTCATTCGAGTCATTAGAAGCTGCATCATCCAGAGGACTGACTGCATTAATTGGGTAGAAGCAGTTGGGTTATATTTGTACTCAAAAAAACCTCTCCTCGAAATAACCTCACCCTGTTTGTTTCCCAGCATGTGGGCTTTCTGAGCTGATCAAGGTTAACAAGCCAGCTTTCAGAGAGATTAGTGTTTACCACATAGCAAGCCTTTCATACTACCAGCTCAGTTATCCAGTTGTCCCCACTCCCAGCATCAAAGCTTGCTTGAAGTAACCAGTTTTAGACAGTCATATCTTCAAAGGGTACCAGTAGCCACATGGAAGGGTAGAATTCCACATGCTTTTATCCATCCTTCTGTATTTTACATTTTAACTTTCCTTTATATACTAACTGGAACTGTCCCTAACCATGTGTATTGATTTCTTTTCCTCTGTACAGATGGTCTGTCTGATAAGAGCTCTCACTCTGGCCAAGGAGCTCTGAATTGTGAATCCGCCCCTCAGGGGAACTCTGAGCTAGAGGACGTTGAAAATAAAGCCAGAAAAGTCAAAAAAAACAAAGAGAAGGAGAAGAAAAAGGAAAAGGGCAAGTTAAAAGTCAAGGAGAAAAAGCGAAAAGAGGAAAATGAAGACCCGGAAAGGAAAATAAAGAGGAAGGGACTTGGGGCCATGCTGAGGTATGAGTCTGCTTTGAAAGCAAAGTTGGTTTTCTTTTTGTGTTTCTCCTGGTGAAATCACTCCTTTCTGTGGGAAAAGCACAAGGTTTCCTTCATTTTCAGCTAAATGCAGAAAAACCTAAGTTGTGGATGTATTTGTTCCTTTTCTGAGAAGTAGATGGAGCCTGTTTGGGGAGGCTCCTGGAGCTTAAGGTAATGACAGGAAGCCATCCCAAGTGGGTTGTGAAAGAAAAGCCAGTGTTTAGTAGGGGCACAGACAGTGACCACCACCCTTCCTAACTAAGTGTTGCATGGATAAAGTAAATACCTCTTCTATCCACACAGGGAAAGCAAGCGGCAGGGGACTATTACCTATGGAATGCCTTCTTTGAATCAGTGAAGTGAGGGTGAATGAACCTCTTCACTTCATGGCAAGAACTCTGGGCACATTAGCTGTTACCTACCTAACGTAGCGTGGCGGAGATGTCACTGGATCTGGGGTCAGATCACCCTGGTCTGAAACTATATCCCTCCCCCTGTAAGCACCAGGCCTTCACACATGCTGCTTACCTTCCCTGAGCCTCACTTTTCTCACTTTCAGGTCTGGCAGGCCTGCTCTGCTCACCCAGTGGGGCTGGAGACAAGGTTTCCTGTGCAGTGGGTTCATTGAGTAGGTGTGGCACAGCAAAATACAGTCAGAAAGCAGCTTTATTTCCTCTGCAGCTACCTTCAAAGACACTCTGTTGAGCTGTCATCTTGACGCCATGATGATGTCTCAGCTTTCTAGTCTATTTTGGGTAGTAAAACAGTTTCTTTGTCAGGGGCTAAAATATTCAACTAGTGCAAATCAAAACTTCCCTCCTCCCTGCCACTTAGCTCCCACTCCTAAGGAGTACACTGTAGTTGGTTGAGTCATAGGAGTCCACCTTCTCCAACTTCTGTCTCTGAAACTAGTGGAAAAGGAAGGGCAATATTTTTTTTTTTTTGGGGGGGAAGGTTTTTGCTATAGGGTGTGTGTGCTTGCCAGAAAGACAGAGAGAAACAGACAGAAAGCGAGAAATCACCCTCCAGCAAGGACGGCCACACCGCAATCCCTTCTCCATTCTCCTCTCGGGATCTTGGGCATGCACACATATGTACCTGACATGAGTTTAAGCTACCAGGTCCAGAACTTGAACCATGGTCAACTACATGGGAGTCCAGCGACATAGCCATTACGCCAACTGCTGGTCCCAGGAAGGGCAATATTAAACAGGACAGAGTTTGGCTTAGTTTGTGTTTTTGGTGTCATACAGGACCTTTTTGGGTCACTTTTGCGGATTTATTTTTTCTTTTTTAGGAGAGATTTTTGCTATAGAACACCAGAAAGACAGACATAGAGACAGAAAGCAAGAAATTATCCCCAGGCGGGATGGCCATACTGCTCCATTCTCTTCTTGAGATCTTGGGCACACACATGCGCCCAGGGTGAGTTTAAGCTGCTGGGTCCAGGATTCAAACCACAGTTGACTACATTGGAGTCCAGCAACATATCCATGACGCCAACTGCTGGTCCCCTTGAAAGTGCTCTTTACTAATGCAGGAGATTAATTTCCCATGGACCTCTCAGGACCCTCTGACCCTTAACCTCTGACTTTAGACAATGGAGTTACCTGATCCTAACTGTGGACATTGTCAGTGGTGGCAGTTTAAGATGGCCTTAGCCTAACTCACTGCTATAGCACCTCCTTGGCTCCCTACAGCTTCTGATCTCTCACCTACCCAAATGATACCAGCACAGCTCCTTCTCCCTCCTCACCCTGCCGTAGTGCCATAGAGATGCTTGTGCGGCCTCACAGCTTCAGACTGCTCCCAAATAAGACCAGCACTGTCTTTGGACCTGCTAGCCCTAGGAGCATAAGTCAGACTCTCCCAAGAACACTCTTATACAGTAAACTTGGGCAAGTCACAAAGCAAATAGGTAGGAAGTTAGAGGACAGACTCCTTTTGCATAATTGCTTCTAAATTTTCTGAGTTTTCTTATTCCCCAAATTATTGGAGGGAGGAGGCTGAAGTACTCCTTGCCATTATTTTGTTCACTCATATAATTTCCATTAAAAATATCTGTTCAATTAGTAAACTTTCTTTTCCACCGCCTGAAGCTGGATGATGGGAGATAGTTGATGGGCCAGATTGGCCACCTCTTATGAAACCCTTAGGAACTCTCTCTCTATGAATGCTGGGTGAGCATGAATCACTAACTGTTCTCATGTGGGACCTTCATCTGAAATGTCCAGATACACATCTTGATAAGAATGACATGTAATTGAAATATTCTTAGATGAGGATTTTGTCTTCAAAGTGAGAAATTGAGAGTTTAAAAGTACAAGCTCTGCATGTAGACTTTTTATGTGTGTGTGTGTGTGTGTAGACTTTTGAGTTCTATCATGGCTCATCTTTCTATCTAGGTAATACTGAACAAGTAATTTAACCTCTTTTGCCTCAGTTTTCTCATTTGAAACATGAGAGTAGTAATAGAATCTATAATACCATTATTAGAATTACTTTTCTTTAATTATATATAGCCTGCTTAGAACTATGCCTGACAAATAATTAACATTCAATAAAGGTTAATTATTGTAGAAGGCATAATAATGGCCTTCTAGAGATGTGTACATCCTAATCCACTGTACTTACGTATATGTGCTGTTTCATTGCAAAAGAGAAGTAAGGTTGCAGATAGAATTAAGTTTGCTGATCATCTGACCTTAAGATAAACCGATTGAGCAGTTAACAGTATTACATAGAAATATGAGAAAGTTCTCTGATGCTGGGCCCACATGGGAATGCCATTGGTTTTCATCTGGAAGGTTTACTGTGCACACCTGGATGCACATGGATGGCTGAGACTACAGGTGGAGGGTGGGGTAAGGACCCTTTTGGGAGTGCATATCTCTCTCTTTCTCCTTCTTTATCTCTATTTTAAAAAAATAGAGGCCAGCAGTTGACATGGTGGTGAAGGACACTAAACTCCCACATGGCGAACTGCAGTTTAAGTCCCAGACCTGACGGCTTGCTTTCTCACTTTCTTTCTCTCTTTCTCTCTCTCTCTCTCTCTTCCCATCTCCTTCCCTCTGTCCCTTCCTCCCTTCTCCACCATCTCTGTCCCTCTCTGGTCAAATTTAAATAAATAAATAAAATAAGTTAATAAACAATTATTTTTAAAAACATTTCTAAATAAACTTAAACAAAGGTGGCTATCCTAGACTTTCCCCAGTAGGTTCAATGTAGTCACGCTGTAACCTAGAAGTAGAAGCAGAAGGTGTGGCTGTGGAGTACAGTGCAGAGAAATGCTATAGCCTTGCTTTAAAGATGAATGGAGTGGACCCTCAGCCAAGGAATGTAGGCAACCTCTTGAAACTGAAAAAGGCAAGGTAATGGATTCTCTCTTGAGGGTGTCCAGAAAAGAACACAGCCCCTTATTTTAGCCCTTTTATGTTGTTTTAGCCACTAGGTTTGTGGCAGTTTCTTGCCACAGCAACAGAAAACTAATATATAGTAATGATTATGATAATGCTTATTATTATTATAATATCAAAGTAATTTATAAGGAAAAATTTACTCTTTAAGGTTTTAAAAAAATAGTTACAAAATGGTTGAACCAAAAACATGCTGTAAATATAGACACTTAGTGTTACATATCTCACTTCCTAGAATAGTGCTGCATTAAACCTTAACTTCATATTTTATTTCAGATGATTTGATTTGGTAAACTGATACTTCATTGTCCATAATTCAATACCCAGCTCTTCCCTTTTGTTTTCCACTATAGTCTTTATTTCTCTGTATTAGAAGTCCTAGATCCTATTGACATCTCCTGTACCTTGCATTTTGTTTCCTTCCACTACTTTAGCAAAATTAAAATCTGCAAGGTAGTGTTTGATTCTAACTTTAGTGTAAAAATAGCAACTGTTTTCCATAGCCTTTTTGCATCTGAATTTGTGAGCATATTGGAGTTGCTGCTCCATGCACATTTTCAACAACAAAGAACACAAAAGCTGTTACCATTAGCCAACAGATTCTGCTTTAATTCTCATCTGTTGCTCAGATGCTATTGACTTAGTTTCTTTCTTATTTAAAAGAGAATGATTGCTTTAAGATTCTCTTAGAATTAGATGTGTAGTTTAAATATATATTATCTTTTCCATTATCAGACTTTATCTGACACTCTCCCGAAAATAGGGGTCTGGCATGTACAGGTTATTCAGTTGTATCATGTACAAAGGCACCTGACCTGGATAGGAAAAGAAGACTTAAATTCTTGCCTCACCAAGCTGCACATCACAGAAGTGTGAATGTGTTAGCAGTGGCCTTGTTTTCCTTTGGAAAGAGCTACATGTTTGTTCTTTTTTTTTTTTTTAAGAAAGATTTTTGCTAGAGAGCAAAAATAGTTTGTGCTAACTGGAGATACACACAGAGAGAGAGAGAGATAGACAGAAAGAAAGCAAGAAATCATCCCCTGGGGGCGATGGTCACACCATAGTCCCTTCTCCTCTTGAGGTTTTAGGCACGCACGCACAAGCTTCTGGCATGAGTTTCAAACCTCTGGGTCCTGGACTTGAACTACAGTTTGACATGTGGGAGTCCAGCAGCGTAACCATTACACCATCTGCTGGTTCCAAGCATTTTTTTATATTAGTCGTTCCATTCATGTTGATGACACGTATAGTAGTAAGTTTAGCTCATCTATTAATTAAACCTACCACTGATCCTTCTGAGAAGAGATATATTTAATTCATATCTTTGTACCTGTTGTCTAATTCTGTATAGTTAATCCTCACTGATTTCAGAATTACCTCCTTACATGATTCAAGTGTGGCTCTTACACAGGCCATGAATCATTGTGGGGAAATATGCATCTCAAGGACCTCTCAACTTTGTGATTTCTTATATACCCATTTATCTAATGCCAAAAGAGAACTTCAGGGGATCGAGGTGCTTAAATTTTTCCATTGTGTGTCTGACTTCATCAGGCATCATAC